AGTGTCTGTGCCCCTGCCAAGCCACAGCAACCTCTTTCTGAAGGCAGTTCATCTAATAGCAATTCAGTGCATTATTTGCTGCCATTGGTCCCACCTGATCTTTTGAACTCAGAGAGCTGCTTTTCAATTCAGTCACCACTTGCCCACTGTCAAAAATCAAGCCCATCATAAGTAAGTTCACTCATCAATTATTTCCTCTGATTTTTCTGCAACAATCTGCCCACCATACCCACCCACACTTCACTTAATCTTCTTGTGTGCACACCCACAGTGAATCACAGCTCTGGTCTCCCACTCTGATAGAATTTCTTCAATGGCCCAATCAAAACCACCCCAATGAGGCGTTCACAATTTTACCACTTAAATTTGAAGGAATAGCCAACCACCATATGTAAAATCTGAATATTTCATAACATTAGAATTCTTGACTTACTCCCACTTGAACTTGTTTCTTTTGAGATGGAGTTTTGCTCTTGTTGACCAGGCTGGAGTGCAATGGCATGATCCTGGCTCACCACAACCTCCACCTTCTGGGTTCAAGCGATTCTCCTGCCTCAGCCTCCCAAGTATCTGGGATTACAGGCATGCCATGCTTGGATTATTTTGTATTTTCAGTAGAGATGGGTTTTCTCCATGTTGGTCAGGCTGGTCTTGAACTCCCGACCTCAGGTGATCCACCTGCCTCAGCCTCCCAAAGTGCTGGGATTACAGGCGTGAGCCACTGTACCTAGCCTTGAGCTTGTTTTTAAGCCTAGAGTAAAGGTTATGTTCCCTCATCTCATCAATGAGTAAGCTAGGCAGTCAAAACTTTGTTCAATATCAACTTCGCTTGTTTTCTATCACTTTCATGATATAAAGTTATTGAAGTAATACTATAATCAGACTTCACACGGCCAGTCCATGAATAAAAGAGCACAGAGTGAGGGGGAACACACACTGGAGGGTTCTGAAGCTGACCTGGCCTAGTACCCTTTATCTAGTCTTCTTTGTCTCATTCCTGACAGTCATAATAATCACTGCAACAATCACAATGATTATTATTATTGGCCTTACTTAGCATTAATATTTACTTACAGTGTGCTTTTTGGTTAACAATAGTTCCTGCACTATCTAATGTCATGATACTTGCTTACTTTACTGTAGTTATCCAGTGAGGTAGAATGAAGCAGCTATAAAGATACCAGCCGCTGAACACTTGCATCAAGGGATCCCAGAGAAGACACATCCCCCCATTACTTGCCTCTAGGTTCATGCCAACACCAAGGAACTAAAGCATCAGCAAGGGCCCCTGGAGGTTGCTCTCATGTTAATGCCCAAAGCACTGGAGGAGCATGGTCCAATACAACATCCTGTGATGCCCTGTAGACAGGGACATGCCCTGTGTATGCACTGACCAATACAGTGTAGTGACTGTGCCCTTGGAAGGTAGCTGGTGGGACAGCAGTACTCAAGTTTTGGCTGTAATCATTTAAATTAATTTAAATTGCCACACGTGGCTCTTGGCTACCAAATTCAATGCTGCGGCTTTAGATACCTGCCCACCCTATGATCTCCAGGAGTTTTGCCTCGGTTCTTAAAGGCTGTCCTCTGATCATTTTCAAAACTCTGTCTATGAGCAAAGCACCTGAGAATATCTGCAGGAAAATGCCATCTCCTGCTAAGGGGGGCACTTGATATGTCATTGTCGCTGCAGAGGAAAGGCAAAGCGGCCTCTGAGAGAAGGGATCTGCAGCTACCAGGGATCACTGAATTTGGAACAGGGTCCCCAGGGGCTGGTGTGAACACACTCCAGGCAGCTAAGCCACAAGCAAAGAGCTAAAAACAGAAATTCTGCGTGGCTTGAAAGACTATCTTGAAAAACAAAAACAGTAGAATGAAACCAGTGGGTGTCTTGTCAGCCTTAGGCAACCACTGGCCAAAAAGAACAGAACTAATTGCTTACTTAAAAGGAAAAGGAAAAAAAAAAAAGAAAGAAAGAAAAAAATGTGAGAAAACAACGAAATGAGAAAACATCCAAGGAATGTAAGTAGTTTCCAGGGCCCCGCTACTCACATGGCCCTTGTCGGGCACTTCGACTCGGCTAGCTGCTCTCCTGCCCACCTTTCCCTTCACCCCGATGCCCCCCGTACTTGATGGAGACACCTCCTTTCTTAAATTTCATTACTTCTGTCTGCCTGTCTCATAAGGAGATAAAGCATATGGCACACGCTCGTGAAGAGTAGGACAGTCCCCTCTGTGGATGGCAGTGTGGCACAGAACAGGCTTTCAGGGCTGACTCCGCGGGCGCCAGCCGCTCCGAACCCATTAGCGGTTGCTCTGCCCCCGACCAAGCCAGCTGCTTCCCTTCTCCCCAAACCCCTCAGGGCCTTCCCCCCCTTTTTTTCCTAAGGAGAAGAAAGGACCACCCTGAACAGAAAGGGCTTTCTCTCCTCTTTTGCTTAAAGCCCAGTATAGAGCTTTGTAAGGAGAAGGAAAATGGGAAATACAGAGAACGGTCCATAAAATCATCAGAGGAGAGAAGGAAGGGGTCTGGGGACAATATTATGATTTTGTTTCCTGGAGGCAGGTTACAAGTGCCACTTTCCAAAACTTCAGGGATTCTTCTGGAATAGGAAAATAATTATTTTCCCTTTCAATATCTTAAGGGAGAAACAACATTAGATTTAACGGTTCCTTATGGCCCTAATTTTCTCTCTGTCCCCATCCATTCAGCCAAAGGTTGGACTTCTGCCCGCTTTGTGAGCTTGCTCTGAAAAGCCCTCCCAAACCACAGGGTGTAATGAATCAACTGGAAGGAGGACAAAGACTAGAATTCCCAACCAGTAGCAAGGGTCAACCGTAGGGGCTTTCAGGTGAAGGCCAGAACTGGATGAGGGGGAGGTGGTGGTGAACGGGTGAAGAAACAGAGGTCCAGGCCAGGTCAAAGGGAGGTCACTTCACTCCCCTAGAACTGTGACTCAGTAATTGGTGGCCTTGTGGCCTGGGTAAGGCTGCCCTCAGACACTCCCAGAGAAAATATGCTTAGAACAGTACAAGGGAGGAGGCCAGAATCATTAGAATGAACCTGAGGACAGACACTGAATAAGAGCCACCCAAGCTCCCCAGCCGGCAGAGGGCCCAGGCTATATATCCTTTCATTCAAAGTGCCTCTGCTGAGTTACATACCACACATGCGCACGCACACACACACACACACACACACACCACACTCATGTACACACACATTAACACTAGAAATGCACACCTACACAGACCCCACAAACCTTCTTTACATTTGGATAAAACATGGGGGTTGGGAACAACCATGAGTTAATTGGATGCAGTCTCAAAGGAGTGGAAATGAAATGAAAAATCCAGGCTGGGTTATAAAAATAAGTATTTTTTCCCAACGTGCAGGAGGCTCATTATATTAATTAAACATTATTGCAGTGAACAGAGAAGGGAGGGTGATGAAGGCTGGACTGGGGTAAGTGTTCTCTTCTGTTGCCTGAGGCCACGGTGATCTTCAGATATTAATCTCTCTGAGCACTCAAATGCTGAAGAGATAAACACTTGAAATATGAAAATGTTTTTCTCCAGATCAGGCACTGTGACCCTCCAGGGAAGCAAGTGTGGGCTGTGTCAGGAGGCCAGCTCCAAGTGCCCTCCTAGCGTCTGTCCTACTACCGCCCCTGGGAAGAGGGGACATGCCAGTGCTTGGGGTGAGAAGCAGTTCTAAGGAAGCCTGCAGAAGGGAAGACCCCTTCCCCTTTGTATTTTCTAGCTTTTTCCCATTGTACCCTGGAAAACTCATCTACTAAATTTCCAGAATTCACCCCTCTCTTCTCCAATGCTTATGGAGGTCTCAGGTCCAGGCCAGAGGTACAGAATTCAAAGTCACTGAGTGCTGTGCTGGAGCTGAGGTATACCAGCCTGTGACAGCTGCTTGTCAAATGTTTTGCAAGCCAGTTGTTAAATGTATTTATTAGTAAAAATTACATGAAGTTATAATTCAATAAATTGTATTAAAAAATAAAGGTAACAAATCCTCTAAACCCAACACTTCCCAGCTATCTTAGTACATTTTATCAGTATCTATACTTCTGGGGTTATTTCTGTCTACTGTATTTGCATGATGGGAGAAAAAAACTATATAATGCCCTATCACTGACTTCTCAACTCCGTCTCCAATGATGTTGTGTTGGTCGCTTAAGTTGAACCATGGTGAGAGTATTTACACCACTGAAAGTGACAAACATTAAAAAGCAGGTTTTTTTTTTTTTTTTTAATCTCTAAAAAGCCTTTTCAACATTTACCACCATACTGCTGTCAAAGCCCCTAACAGTGGAGATAGCAGACAACTCTTGCTTCTACCTGTTTTGAAGGGCTAGAGGCAACCCCTTCTTGTCAGCAGTGGCAGGAAAGCCTTCTGAAATCTGGCTTTTTGAAACTAAAAGGGTGGGCTTAACAATGTATCTAGGACTTTCAGCAATACTCTTCTAGAAGCCAAGTGCCAGGCAGCTCTGCTAGATACCCATGGGCATGGCAGCATTCTGTGCCCTCAACTTGACTTGCTAGAAGCAATGGCACCCTAAGAGATGTATGAGTCAGGTTCAAGGGCAGTGGTCTCCCAATGAGCCATTTTAGGAACAGTATCCAGCTTGAAGTTGACAAGGAGCTCTGTGATAGTGGCAGTGAGTGCTGGCTATGGGAACAAGAGGACATTGACTCGCTCCATCTCCTAGGGCCTCCCAATTGCCCCTTCTTTCTTTGTCTTCTTTTTTCTATCTTGGCTTCCCCCTGTCCCTCCCAGCTTCCAGGCTGTGCTGGAGAGGCTGGAAACCACCAACTGGCTATTCTGTGAGGTGACGTCTTGAGCAAAGACTGTGGTGGTTTGTGGGCAAAGAACAGAGGATTTCTCTGCGGTGGGAAGTTATGAGGCTTATGAGGGAATCTGGGGTTGAAGAATGTGGAACAGGCTAGCCTTAACTCTTTCATCTCTTCACTCATGGCTGGCTTACCTGGAAACGTCCGGTCGTTCGGGCTGGAGCTGCTGGCCCAGGTGGTCCGGAGCCACTTGGCATGGTCATACATCCAACCACAGGGCTCCTCGGGGAAATCAAAGTTGCAGTTGAATCCCGAAGGGAGCTGCAAATCTTTGTCTAAAAGGGGAAGAAAATAACCCAAAGGAAGGCAAATGAAATGGTTTCAGAGAACAGCCACAGTGGTGCTATTTAAATGGCTGGCAAGGCCTGAGTGGAGAGCAGAGAAAGAAGTGGCTTCCTTTGCCTATTCATTGAACTCATCTTGGCGATCGCTGGCTTTCGGGTCAGGCTTTGGTCTCATCCTTCCCAGGCATGAAAGCCAAGTCTGCCAGTGGTTCCCATAGTAAGCAATTATAAATGAGGCCACCAAATGGCTTCAGGCTCTAATCAGCCTCTTCTGTCCACCTCGGAGAGCAGACAAATGTGAAAATTGCTGTTCCCTAAATGCCAGAGAAGAATGTCTCCCCAGTGCCTTGGTGGAAGGCTGGCTCCCAAAAAAAAGTATTATCTCATCTCCTGCCAACCTGGCTCTCAGAGGAGATGGGGCGGCCCATTAGCATCCAGAGAGACTGAAATGCCTGGGAGGTTCTGCCCAGTGGGGAGAAAGTGACCTCAGAAACAAGGAAGGCTTGTTTGCTATGCTTCACCTCTTTGTGATCCGTCTCTATTTCTGGAGACTGGGACAGTTCAGCATCTCCATGGGGAGGTATGCCCGGTGGGAAGTTTGGCATGTTAAGAGCAAATCGAAGGGGCCAGACCAGCCAGCCACTCAGCTCAGTGCTGACCAGGAGGAAAAATAATTTCACATCCTGCTGAATCCCTGGAGGCTGCGACCCCAGGGAGGTGGCGAATACTTTCCCCATGAGAATCTAAGAACTAATGACACAATGGTGTCCTGTCTGCTTTGGTGGTTCACCTGCCTAAGCCTGAAGACAGAACTAAGGGAGTTTCTTTTGAGGTTCCACCCAGCTCCAAAAATCCAGTATGAACTCATGCCAAATATGTGACTAAGTGGAGGTGGTGTGGAGGTGGGGAAAGAGGAAATGGGAACCCAAATTTGGATGTTTGTCGGCAGTGGCTGCGGAGACAGCGGAAAAATGCTGGCCAATGCTGGTAGCAGGGAGGAAGTGGGGTCTCTGCCCTTCTCACTTCCCTTCCCAGGGTTCTTAGAGAGGAATTTCCCTGGGGAAGGCTCAGAATGCAGGTTAGGAAGTCTAAAGGGAGCCACAGACTGGTAGAAACAAATTATTCGCCACAGGGGTGAGGAGGGCTCACCTCTTGGGGGGCAGGGCACTGCTGGTGTCAGAGGGAGGAGGAAGATTGCCACCAGGCCCTGTGAATGCCTCCCCTCTCCAGGACAGGATATTTAATGTTTGCCTACCCTTGGCCAAAGTCAGCTTGAGTTGAGAAGAAACACATGGAATCTATTACAGAAGCATCAACCTGTGGCTTGGAAAAGCCAGGCCTCAGCCCTTACCATCCCCTTCTCCCGACAATTTCTGAATTTCTACTTTTCCCTTCAAAAATATGAAGTAATTCAATATAGCATAATTCCTCTGTAATGTTTACATGCATACTCTATCTCAGGAACCAAAGTCTACAAAAAAAAAATCTTTTGCAAAAAGAGAACTATCAAAGAAACCTCAAATGAAACAAACCACTGTAAACGGGAAAATCATATTAAAAATAAACTTCTGAAATTCTGCAGCAGAATCTTTAATTTTTCCTTTGATTGTTGTTTAGACAGAACCTCCACTCCAGGTTCCCCAACAAGCTAACTCTGCAAATCCAGTGCTGTATCTTAACTCCCCATGCATTCTACTTTTGGCTCTCAAAACTATCTGAAGCATGTCTTGGAAGATTCTCCAACTCTCCTTCTTCTCTCCATAAAACAAAAACAAGTTCATTAAAATGTCAGAATTCTGTATTCAACTAACCCTGACCAACAGCATCCCCCACCCACACAATAATACAAAGCACAGTCCCAAATGCATATGAATTAAATTATTGCTTTTTCATTCACATAACTTCAGCATTTACTTCTGGCTTTTCTCCCATTCTTCTTTGCAGCCATTTTCTGGAGTCATCCACTCCATCAGCGCAGTTTCTCTTCCTGTCAAATGGCTGTGCTTGCGGGTTCTGGAGATTCTGCCATCTACCTACCTCTTTATGTCTCCATCACTTCTCTAGTCTCTTTGCCAATCTTCCCTCATTTTATTTAATGAACATTTAGTAATGAGCACTAATTTACTGTAAGTTGAGGCTATCAAGCTTAACATTCTAGCCAAAATGCCAGGTGTTCCAAAATTTGTGGTTTATTAGAAATGTCCTCTTACTTGGTGACCTTAGCAGTATGATTTAAAATGTGACTTACTTTTGGGTTCTGCCAATTACTGTTTTTATCTAACTTGGATATGCTCCAAAGATAAATGAAAGGAATGTGGATTTCCCATGTGATGAGAACCATCCAGAAATACGGAGCCTCTGAGTTTTGAGGGAATGGCTGAAGATGCCTTTTTACATTTCTGCCTTTGTCTCTCGTGTGCACTCCAGTTACAGAGGATACAATGCGCTTTTTTTTTTTTTACTTATTTATTTCTTTTCTTTGTCTTCTTTTTTTGTGTGTGTAAGTGATGCTGCTAAATGCACTGTCTCATAGAATCATCACTGTTATACTTTCTCAAATTAGTGGTGGCAAAAGACACAGGGAAACACAATTAAGTCACAGCTAACTACTGAATGAACCCAACTATTGTGCTCCATGGACCAAATCACCCCGATGACCGCCATGTCTTCACTTGGCTGTAGCACACAGACACAGCTGCACAGGAAAAACTATCAGAGCTGTGAATTCTAAGGATGAGAATGGTTTTCCTTTGTCAGACAAGCAAGATAGTGAGGCCTCAACAAATGGGACTTCTTAAAGGAGGAGGAGTTCTCTTTGGGGCATCCTTGTCTCACCTGGGTCTGGGTTCACACCAGTAGGGCTGTACTGGTTGTTACACTATCCGAATGCTTCTACATTAGTTGTAGAGCCACTGTCCCAAACGCCTGAGTGTCCCCACCTCTTTACCCCTTCCCTGAGATCCCCTGGATCTCTGACCCAGGGGACTCCTAGGTCCCTGCCCAGCCACAGGCCAGCTCCCACTCTGACTAGTCTGCACCCATGCTGTCTGGATGCAAGATGTGCTTACCGTCCTCAAAGCTGCAGTTCTCCCCACAATCCGTGGCCTCCTCCTCGATGGGATAGGGTGTGGTTGTCTCTTCGCTCTTTGCAGTGGGTCCCAGTGTCTCTACTGTGGGCTTGGAGTCTGTGTAAGGGCAAAGGAAGAGAAGAGAATGCTGCAGCAGCCTGTGTTGCAACCCAGCAGGAGGAAGATGCCAAAAATGAAGTGTGGGCTTTTAGAGAAGGCAAAGAAGAGGCGCACATGTGCACGAAGCTCTGCAGTCACATCTGTGTGCTGCAGTGAGGTCGGGGCATCGCCCGAGTAGAATGAGAATGGTCCTGGGTTGCAGAACCGGCAGTGACAGAGGTAGGGACACAAACACACGTTCTTTACTCCACGGCAGAGGCCCAGAGGCTAGCACAAACGGCCACGTGAGACAATAATGGAGGTGGGTGACAGGCAACGCTGACTCCAAGGAAGGACCAAAGCATACTCTGGTTCATGTTTGCACAAAACTGGATGGATGGGGCTATGGATTTAAAGGGTTCAGACTCTACATGGTGAAAGTGATTTGGGACTATACCTTTAGGTCAGGGTGGCAAATTCAAATGTTTCCTGGATCCAAACACCTCCTGTAAGTGAGGAGAGCAGACACAGGCGGTGGGGGCAGGGGAGGGTTGGAGAGAGAGGAAGTGGTGACAGCTGGGATCATGCATGCCTGGTTTAAAGGAGGCCTCCATGACTGGCTCCAGCATATTGGTGCTTGGAGGGGAGGTGGCCCAGTGTGGCCACGCCAGGTCTTCCAAATATTTCCTCCTTTCCTTCCCCCGACTAGCAGGCAAAAATCCCTATGTGAAATCTCCAGACTCTAAAAGTTGGCAACTTATTAAAAATGTTGTACTAAGAAGCATGCCATGAACCCTGGCTAGGCCAAACCTGGCTGCAGGCAGTGGGCTCTGACCTCAGCTCTAGGTGATTCATTCAACTATTCATTTGCTTATTTGCTCATGCCCTTCATTCATTCAGCAACTATGGAGGGAGTGAATGGAGCTATGAGTCAGGCCCTGGGTGGGGTGAAAGGGGTTCTAGAAACCTGTGCTCAAGTCCACATGTTTTGGGGTGGTGTCTTCATCCCAGAGCTGTCCTTCCACAAGATGACGGTGCCTTGTCCCTCTCATTTCTATAGATGCTCCTTTGCACTATTGTATGTGGTTAGGTACCTTTGTCAGGCACCCTTCAGGTTACCATTTAATAAAAGCAGGAACTGGAGGAAATTGCTAAATACACTGAATAGCTTTTTCACGGTCGACTTCCCACCTTTCTGCTATTAAATACTATGCACATAACCTTTTCTACTTCCCGTTGCCGTGTCTGCCTCTTGCTCACAGTAAATAGCAAATAACCTCGAAGCGTTATTTGTAAGTTCAAATTTGTCACTGTGTCATAGAAAATCAATTGTAAAGCTAACTACAGGGTGGGAAGGCAAAGCATAATTATTTGAAACACAAACAAACCAACGGACAGGTGAAGCAGCCCTGTGGAATTATGTAGCTGCAGCAGCTCAGCCCAGCCCATTACTTTCCCTGTTATCCTTCGGGACAGGGATGAAGAAGTGAACCCAGGATGAGTGGGAGAAACAGATGGAAATTTGAAAAGCAAACATAGCCACGTGACCTACAGAGAACAGTTTCCGGAAATGTTAGGTAGCAAAATGGGTCAGCTGATTGGTGTAGAGAATGTTAAGCCCAGGGGCCAGTGAGGCACCAGAGGGCAGGGCGTGTAAATGAAAGTGGAGGTACGGCGGGTACGTAGGCCTCGGTGTTTATTCTGTTTGTACTGTGTTTGTACTGGGCGCTCCGAGGTAACTGCCCATCAGACAGCAGCGCTGCCCCTGAAATTGAAACCAGATGTCAGAGACTTCAAAGGAAAGGAGGCTGGGCAGAGGGTAACGCTCCTCAACTCTGATCTTCTGAGGAATGGCCAGGCAGAGCTTTGAAATGAGAAACCTGTGGGTGATGCTGACCATCACCGGTGTAATTTGGGGCAGGTTAGGGTTGGGGATCGGTAAGGAAAAGAGGTCATTAGCAACTGTCCAGCTGGACAGACTGGGAGGGTGCGGCATCGAAGGGCAAAGGATGGGGAAAGAATGAGGTGGCGTTCAACCAGCTAAGTGGCCTCTGGCAAGTGGCTTCCACTCTCTGGGGAGCAGATTCTACTCTCCTTGTCTATGAAAGAGGAATTGGCCCAGGTCTGTGATATTTTCCAAACCACACATCACTCATCATTGGGTTGTAGAATCCATTAAAGAGGTCGTGATCAGCATTTAAACATACCGACTATAATATTTTGGAGTACACTTCCATGGTTAAGATGACCATTGCTTTGGGAAGCTTTTGTTTCAGTTACATGTGCTTATCATAACAGGTTTGCTGGGTGCCAGGCAGTAGTCTAAGCACTTCATATCCATTCATTCATTTAATCCTCATAATGACCCTAGGGCAGGTGCAGATAGACTGCTGTCATCTCTAGTTTTCAGCTGAGATAACCAAGACGCTGAGAGACTAACTTTTCCGAGGTTATGCAGCCAGCAAATGGCAGGGGCAGGGCTTGAACTTGGCAATCTGTCTCCAGAGTCCAAGCACTTACCAATATACTGTACCCGCATGCACAACTGTGTGTGAGTGTTTATAGGTGAAGCAGGTTGCGAAGGAAATTTATTTTAAATTGTGTATCATGGGCAGAAACGTGTGAAAGCCACTGGCTTAGATGCTCCTGGATCCCCCACAGCACTGAGCCCGATTCCAGTGCAGCTATAAATGAAGCCAGCTTGTAGTGTGGGGGGGCGGGGGGGAGGTTTTCCACACCTGCGAGAGGACAGGTGACACACATTTAGCAGGCTGCAGGGAACTTTGGCCTCCTCCCCAGGTAATGGGGAGTAAAGTGTCTTCCTATGAAGATGGGTTCGCTGGGGCTGCCTTCAATTCAAAAGTGAGGAGGCTAATTTGGGCCAATTTCCCAGCCCATGGGCCTCAACGGGGCTTCTCTGCGCTGCCGTAGCCAGCATACAGGCTGCATTTTTCTCCCTGCAAGCCAAAAGGACTTCTTCGACATGCCCTTATTAATCCTTCATGCCATTCTGCCAGCTGAGCCCATGACAGGTACGGCACAGATAGGAAAACAGAGATACCTGGGGCCCTGGTGGAGGAGGGCAGGGTAGCTCAGGCTGGCGGCTGCTCTGGCGGGCCCTGAGCCCCAGTGGCTCCCACGAACTCCTTTTGGCAGGCATGAGTGAGCACCGAGTAAGATCTGGTGCCAGCTCTGCTGAGGGAGGAGGGCCGGCGCCCAGAGGAAAGGAAGGTAGGGCCTGACTCAGAAGGGCAGGGCCCTCCCTTGGAAACCAGGAAGGGTGGGCACCCTCAGTGAGCCTCACCCTCATTTGGGAGGATGAGAAGTGTTCCCCAAGGCCTGGGCCACCTGGCAGGAATGAGCAGGGCCCTGAGAAGGAGTCCTGCCTGCATTAGCTCCCTGCAACAGGGTCCCTCCTGAGCAAATAAATGCCTTTTACAGATGTGGCTCTGAAATGAAAATGAAGTCTCTTAGCCACTGACATCTGGAGTCCAGATTCAGACATAAACCGATTACTTTATTATCATGAGGTTTTTTTTTCTTCCCTAAATCAACAGCCACAGCCCTCTGGCCTGAAGAGCCAGGGTCTAATTGAATTTGGGTGGGTGGTGTGTGGTTATGATTTGTTTTTGAGAGACTCGAGTTGGAGAACTGAAATGAGCCTTTAAAAAAGACAAAGTGCATCCCTTGAGAAACTGTCCTGAGTCCAGAGGCTGCCGTACCCGTGGTCTGAGGCAGGAGAACATGACAGGGGGCTGCAGGTTTCCACCTCCAGGATGGCTGCCCTCTCCACACCCCTACCAGGGCCTCATGGGATGCCAGGGTCAGAGGACCATGTGGGTGAGATGCAATGAGAAGGAAGTGTAGTCTCACCTGTCCAGTCACAGCCCAGCACCTCCAGCCGCATCCCGATCCCTGCCGGCGACCACCGCTCCGGGTATACCCGCACATACTGCGCTGGGATGGGGTCGAACCTTCGGATGTCAGGGGTGTCATAGTGCATGTTCCCTTCGAACAGCTGCAGGGAGAGAGGCCACTCAGCCCTTCTGGTGTGGGACCCACTCCCTATCACCTTCCTCCCTTTCCTTCCCCTTCTCTCTGCCCCGTGCCTCCAGCCAGGAAGGCAGCTTCCTGTGTGATTCCTGGTCACTGGGACATTCCAATCCACAGAGGCTTCATTTTCAGACCAAGGGTTTTATTCATCTGGCAGATGGTTAGGGACCCAGAACAATGGGAAATAAGGAGTAAACAAAGGTGGCAATTTCCAGGTTGTGTCTTTTACCTGGTGACTGAAATGGAGTATCTGGGGAAGAATTTGGCTCCGAATGCATTATCAGCTGACCTTAGCTAGAGAGAGGGGGATGCAGTGTGGGCAATCTTTGAACTGCTCCAAATTTCTGGTCTACTGAGATAGGATCTCTTCTTTTTCTAATGTGCAAAAGCCTCGATTGAGGTGACCCAAGTTGACTGATAGTTCCTAACTCACTGAGTACCTGACGGGAAAATGATCCCTTTCTTTTCTAGGCCAGTGACACTGCCTTCTGGTCACACATCGATAGTCTTAGACTGTTTCCCAAACCTTTGTTTAGGGAATGCGCTCCTGTCAAAAGAAACCTCACATGGAGTCTCAGTACATAAAACTGATGACGCGGGGAACAGGGGCTGCTTTGGTGGAGCTGGATGGAGGACCAGCCTAGAGTACACTTGCAGACACTCAGCTGGGGGAAGGACAGGAGTAGGGCAGCCAGGTCCCTGCAGCTGATTAGCCCCCAGGAATCCTGTAGGACCACTCCAGTTTTCAGGATGCCCTGGGTCCACAATTCTGAACAGGAAGCACTGTCTCAGATAGGGCTGTCTCTGACAATAGCAAAGATCAACTCCTTTCCCAAGGAGAACCAGGCTCAGCTCTCCCTGGGGAAGCCTGTGGTCCAACTTGTGCTCCTTTAATGCAAGGTTCCAGTGACTGAGCCCTGAGCCTTTCCAAGCCTCTGGAATTGAGAACTGGGAGTTTACCTCGGCATCACAAAATCTCCAACCCAACTCTCGCCTCTGTATTCAGAATGGAAACATTTGCTTAGCAAAGGTGGCCCAGAGACATGCAACACACCTTTCTTTTTCAGGAACCTATTCTTTTAAGAAAAACAAGGGGTAACTAGAATAAGAATCAGAGAGCCTGGCCCGCCAGGAGGCAGTGGCATGATGCCTCCTCCCCTTTTGGGACTCTTTGTGTCTATGTTGAAGGCTGGTCTTCACTCTGGTAGCATGGGGGTAAGCTGTACTAGCCTGAACTTCTGGCTTGGGGTGAGTTTCTCTTGCTTCTCTCTTGCCTTGGTTTGAGAGGCAGGAAAGATCTAAGCAGTCAAAACTAGGAGAACACAAAAGAATGCAGCAACATTCAGAAAAACATCGTTATTTTTGGAAGTAAACCTCTAGTTTCTATAGCTTGGCCTCCAAAAACCACATCCCCTTTAGATGTCTGGCCAATTTCAAGGAAACTTGAGCTGAAAGAGTGTGTAAAGAGTGCTGAACTTTATAAAAAGGCAGTGTTCAGTGGTGGTTAGGAGTCAGACTTCTGATTTCTGAATAGGCTCTACCACAGGTGAATTGTGTGACCCTGGGCATGATGACAAGCATCAGTTTATCATCTTTAAAATGGGAGTGACAAAAAGATCTACATTGCACAGATGTTGTGAAGATTAAAAAAAGGGGTCAGGCCAGGCGTGGTGGCTCATGCCTACAATCCCAGCACTTTGGGAGGCCGAGGCAGGTGGATCACTTAAGGTCAGGAGTTCGAGACCAGCCTGACCAATATGGTTGAACCCCATCTCTGCTAAAAATACAAAAATTAGCTGGGTGTGGTGGCATAGTCTGTAATCCCAGCTACTCAGGAGGCTGAGGCAGGAGAATTGCTTGAACCTAGAAGGCGGATGTTGCAGTGAACTGAGATCATGCCACTGCACCCCAGCCTGGGTGACAGAGCGAGACTCCATCTCAAAAACAAACAAACAAATAAACAAACAAGAGTCCAAATAAGGTATTTAGCATAGTGTCTGGCACAAAGTAATCTCCCAACTGGTATTTGTTTTATTGGATTTCAGGAGTTGGATGATAACTGTTTAGATGAGACATCAGCATTCTCAACTCCCTGCACCCCGCTTAGCTGAGGGTAAGGTTACAGAGGCCTCCAAGAACAGCCTACCTTTGGCTGCTGGGTCCTGGGGTCCTGAACGTATTCCCAGTCCTTGCTGTTTAGGCTGTAGGAGACTTTGAACTTGCGTACAAACGCCCTGGATTCTCCTGCGGTGATGCTGTCTCCTCCGCGGGCTCCCTGGATGATGACACCTTTCACCGTCTTGGGTGTTCCCAGATCTACCTGAAGCCACTCTTCACCCGGCTGGGCCTGAGGGACTCGAGGGAACCAGCCCGACCGGCTGCTGACCAGGCGGGCTGCACTGGGGCTCCAGAGGTAGTCGTGGATGGAAGAGGCAGAGATCTGGGAGTCTGCAATGAGGCCTGAGAGCATCCCCAGCATGTTGGAGCAGGGGGCATCTGTAGAAAGGAGAGGAAGATACCAGAGGTCATGGCTGACACCTGCTAACCAGGGAATACCCCCCATAAGGAGGAAGCTGCAAAAGAGCCCAACCATCAAGTACTAAGTCAGCACTGATTTCTTTGCATGGTGAATGTGTATAGCACTGTGGTTACAAGCCTGGACTTGCAGCTAGACAGCTTTGTTCATGTTCACGCTGCCACTTACTAGTCAGATGACCTTGGGCAAATTATTTAATTGCTCTTTGCCTTAGTTCACTTAGATCTAACGGGGAGCTAATAGAGGTGCCTACCTCTTGGGGGCTGTTGCAAGGATTCTGTTAGTTACTATCTAATAGCTCACAGGACAGTGCCTGGCATATTTAAGTATCCAATGGCCATTAACTGTGCTTACAGCTCTAACCAAGGACTCTCAGAATGTATGTCTGCACATCCCTGTGGGTGACACTCGTCCCCACTGACCCTCTTAGGGACAGCGAGCACAGGGGAGCTCAGCTAAACATTGAACTATTTCCTAGTGATCTTCTGCCAAGTAGAAGGAAACCTTCCTGGCATCAGTGTCAGCTCTTTACTTCCATATGTGTTATCACTGCTCTTTCCTGACTTGGATCCTTCCCACATGCTGCTCCCATAACCCAAAATGCTTTTCCCTTCCGTCATCCCCAGACTAACATTCACTTACCCCCAAGCTCAAGCGTCATCTCCACAGAAAGGCTGTACCCAAATTTTCAATCCACGCTAAATTGGTTTCACTTAGAGCACCCTGCTCTTTTTCATCATATGTTGTTCTAGTTTATCTAGTACTTGTGTTTGTTTATTATCTATCATGCTCACTAGCCTGAAAGTTCTACGATGTTAGAGACTCCATCTATTTTGTTCCTGTCTCTATGTCCCATTCCCAGTGTGGGCCTGGCACATCAGATGTGTGGAGCAAATGACTGAGTGGAAAATGTATAAATAAATGATGTCAGGCAAGGCAGGGTCTATAGTCAGCGTGCATTATATCCTTGCAAACTGAGCTGTGGATAAAAAAGATCCTGGTTGTCTCTCTTCTTCAAAATCACTGGTTCTCTCCTTTCAGTCTTCTAGAGAATGAGCTTTACCTAAATCTTTGCTGATTAGCCTGGAAAGGGACAGAAAATAGTCCCCTAGACAGGATTATTATGAACTGATCCCATTCAAAGAAAACAGAGTCTTTGTGTAAGAGCAGAGGCTAAGAGCAGAGGATTTGAATGGAGAAAATGTGGCTTCGGATCCTGGCTCTGTCACCTCCTAGTTGGGTGACTTTGGGCAAGCTATTTAGCCTTTTTGAGTCTAGGCTTCCTCATCAGTCCCTGGCCCACCTTACCTCACAGGATTGTTGGAAAACACAGCCAAGATGATGAACAAGAAAGGCAGGTGGAGAGGCAGAGCTGGTGCAAACACAGGTGTTTTAACTAGAAGCCTCAAACAGGATCACACTTGGAGCACTCCCTGTCAGAGCCGGAATGATTAGGGGAAAGGCAGGTGGCTGGATATACACTGAAGACAATTTCAGGTCAAAGAGGCAACTTGCTGGCCCTGGGCTGAGCCCATAAGATAAAAGGGATTGGTCTTTCCATAAATGTCTGGGGCGGATCCAGCCATCACCATCTCCCATCTGCACCCCCTGCATTAGCCTCCTAAGATGTCCCAACTCTCACTCTGGTCTCCAATCTACACGCCTTGGGTTTCAGCCCATATGCTGTGTCCATGCCCCTCGCTTTTTCTTTTGGTCCCTCTTGCCACAGTGCCATTGAGAAAGGTGACCATTTCCTGGTGTACTTTTCCTCTCCTCTTCACTAGGTCATGTCTGTTATCTGCCTTCTAACCTCACCTCAATCATCAACTCCTCTAAGAAGGCCTCCTTGAGACCCTAGACTGGGTCAAATCCCCTACAATACACTTTCAAGGACCACAAGCCTCTATTTCCAGACATTGATCATAGTTTTGATTTTACATTTATTTGTGAGTTTATCAGTATGTCTGCCCAACTTGTCCATATGCCCACATAGAACTGAGCCTGTTGTACCTACCATTGTATCCACAGTACCATGCACAGCTCTTGGCCTCTGGTTGAGGCAGCCGAGAGTGTTATTTGAAAGTGGGGGCTTTGGACTGAAACTGCCTAGATTCAAAACATGGCTCTAGCTCTCTAAGTCTTGGTTTTCTCACCTGTAAAGTGAGGAGAATAATACCTACAGAGTCCTTATGAGGATAATAAAAGATGTTACATCTTACGTGCTTAGAATGAAATCTGTACGTAGTTACCATTCCATAAATGTTAGCTATTAATAGTAGAAATTGTAGATGCTTAAAAAATATATGCTGAATGAAATATTTCCTAGTGATCATTTTGCCAAGTAGAAGAAAACTCCTGGTGTCAGTATCAGCTCTTTATTTCATATGTGTTATCACTGCTCTTTCCTTCCCACATGCTGTTCCCATGACCCAAAATGCTTTTCCCTTCAGTCATCCCCAAACTAGCATTTACTTACCCCCAAGCTCAAGTGTCATATCCACAGAAAGGTGAATGAATGAATGAATAAAAAGAGAAACTCTGGTAGAACTTGAGTCCTTGAGCCAGTGTTTCTGGGAAGGTCATGTACTATAGTCATGCTGTTTGCATAGAGTTGAAAGGGAGCAGAGCCTAGGACTCAACCAGCACTCCAACCTAGTTGGAGCCCTCACCTCACCTGTGACCCGGCAGCCGAAGAGCTCCAGCCGGAGAGCGATGCCTGAGTGCCAGGTCTGAGGGCGGATCCTAACAAACCTTGTCAGCAGCGGAGCATGGAGCTTGTTCAGAACCACCTCAGTTGCATCGTTGTTAGCTTGAAATACCTGTAGTGTAAGATGCAAAACCGTCTTATTGAAACCACTGTTTGTAGCTCAGCCACTTGAGCAGTCTTTGAAGGAGATGGGAAAATTCTGTTGAATTTTTTTTTCATCAAGCTTAAAAATAATCCATGAGTGTGTTTTTTTGGGCTTTTAAAGAAATACTGTAAAAAAAAATTTTTCTCACACTGTTCTCACTTGAAAATAATCAATGGTCTTCCCAGAAACTTTTAGAGGGAAGGAAGATTTTGCCTTTGGGCTGAGCGCAGGTAGAAGAAGGAAAACACTTGAGAAGCTAAGGAAGAGAGAGAAAAGTGGAATATTCGTTTAAAATGAAGTAAAAAAAAACCAAAGAACACCAGATCTCACTCACTAGCTTGAACTTGACACTCTCTCTTCTTTATGTCGCAGGCATCTAGGGATATTTGCAGAGTATTTTATAATTGTTGTTTTTGTTAGTTACCTGATGCCATGCCACCCATGAATGGGTGAGATGATGATGGGGTACCCTCTACCTACAATGGCCCTATGTCAGTCAACACTTTCTTGGTTTTCTCTGATCTTTGTGGTAGGTCAGGGTTGCAGACAGTCCTTCAGAGTCCTGCTCCAGCTTCCTCTCACTGTAGTCCCGCCCTGTAATGAAATCCTTCCCTGTCCCCATCTGAACAATACATCTCTTATGGGAGGGAAGGCTTTTTGAAACAGCTTCTGATCCAACATGGTGGGAGCAAGTCCTGGCTTTCCAGATGGCCCAGATCAATAACTGCCATATGGACTTTATGCTTTTTTGTGCTCTCTGTTAAGAAAAAAAAAAGTAACTGGAGCAAAGTATATGTGAGTTTCTCTTGGTTTTCTTGAATAAGGGTAGAGGGAAAAACCAACTAACCAACCATCACTTCTAAATCATACCTGTCATAGCTATAACAACCAAGGGACTCTGTGAACCTGCTTATAGCCAGCTCTGCAACCATCAGCAATTTCTTCTGCTTAGGAGAACTAGATGCTTTGGCTCCTGATATTCAGGGCACACCAAGTGTCTGAGGGCATCAACAGGGCTGAGACAAGATGACCAGGGAAACTAGTATATTTGAAGAATTTTCAGCCAGATGCAACAAAATACCTTTGAGCATAAACAATTATGTCTGTAATATCCCAGGAGGTAGGTATTATTATCTCCATTTCATTGGATAAGAAAACAGGCTCAGAGTGCCTGTCTGGATCCAACATCCTTGCCAAGTTTTTGGGCTTTAAGTCTGTAGTTTCTTAGATGAACTCATTTCTTCTAACAAACTTGCAGATTTGTGTTAGTGGCTGGGAGTCATGGGGCTCGTAAAGTCTCCAGGCATGGGCTGAATGGAAGTAGGGTCACCGTCCAGTGATGTGTTCAGTGTGAGTTTAAACCCCACCTTAGACTGGCTCTGAGTAATGGCAAAGAGCAGCAGAGAAGTCTAGAGCTCACTGACAACACAGTCCTCTCTTCCCCATGGACTGTGAACTCCGTCATTTAACAACCCTATATCCTGCTTGCTATGGTTAAAAGTTAGAGCGATTTAACAACACACCACTGAAGACACCATACCTTTTGCAAATAAATGAAGGGAAGTATCTTGCTGAAGACAAAAAGGGAAGCTGATTTTTGCTGGTCCCCCATATTCAATTTAAACCATGGCTCTGGTGCTAAATCCACCATATCTAGGGGTGCCCCCAGACCAACCAGCTTGCTGCTCCCTCCCCTCCTCTGAGAAGTCCTCCCACCCGGGTCCTAAGGTTGGCAGCAGGGAGCACTGAGGAAGAACCTGTTGGTCACTCCTCTCTCCCAGGTTCGATTTTGCTGCTTCCAGTACAGCGACTGCAGATGAGGAGTAGTAAGAAGAGTAAGTTAGCAAGGAAAGAAGAAGAGCCCAGGAAATGGAAGGAAAGAGAGTTAGGGCCAGTTACCTGGAGAAGGCCCAAGGGGAGTGATGCCTGACCCTGCTTCCTTCGTACTGAAAAAGAGCTCCTCAGCTCTCAAGAAAGGGAGAGGGGAACTAGATCCAAGGAAAAGAGATTCATCAGTTCTCTGAGAAGTCAGCATGAGGCAGAGGCTTTCTGTTTGTTTTTGTTTTGTTTTATTTTGTTTTGGCAAGGAAGAAGCAAATGCAGCACTTTGCTTATTTCTGACGGGTGCTGTGAGCAGCGGGGGGTGGGGAAGGTGGGTGGGGGGTGGGGTGGGGCTCCACTGACCTGCTCTCTGAAGATGGTGACGGGGACTGTGTGTGTGGTCGCCATCAGGAGATGGTAAGGAGTTCATACTGGGGGAAAAAGCTTTACTTGCCACGTGAATGCCTAATTGGAAAGTTGAGTGGATCTGAACTTTAGCACTGCTGCTAATCCACAGTATATACACCACGCTGGTACCGTTTAGAAACACAGCATGTCTTATGTGTTTTTAATATCCAATTTTATCTTATCTGACCCCTGCATTTCTCAGCCTTGGCAGGCAACACTAAGAGACCTTTTCTTTCCTCCCTCAGTGAGTAAATGATTGTGTATTTGGGCTGTCTTTGGGATGGTGGTGTGTGCCTGAGTGTGGCTCATGTGGGCATGGGGGTGCATGCACTCGTGTGTATGAGCCGAGGATGGGGTCAGTCTACCCCTGGATACGCATGGTCTCAGGCTCTGGGTGAACCCCTTAATCTGTGCCTGTGGTAGCATCAGTCAGGAAGGGAGGCAAGCACACGGTTTGTGTCCCTTAGGCCATCTACCTGACTACTCCAATTGAACTTCACTCAGCCCTTTCATTTTGCCCACTCTTGTCCCATCCTTAAATCAAATGAAAGATCTTTTCAGCTTAGCTTCAAATGACCCTTCATGTTTCCAAGCTTAATTCCTTAACTGTTTGCTTGTCTGCTCTTGACTTTGTGTTCATATCTGCCCTCTGTTCTCTGGATGGTGAAGGAACACCATCTTATTTGATTTTTAACACACTCTGAGTGTGGTATAGTGGGAAAAACAATGCAGAAAAAAAAAAAAAAAACCCACTACTGAATCAGAAGCCAGGAGCTGAGCTCTGCTGCTAATTAGCTCATAAGTGTGGGCAAATATCTCTGCCTCCCTTGGGCCCCAATTTCCTCCTCTGCTAAATGAGGGGATTGTATGAGTTGATTTGTAAGGTTCTCTCTGGCCCCCTGCTTCTAAACCTTCTTTCACAGGAGTTTTTGCGGTTTGAGCTGCTCTCACAGTGTCCGCTTTGCAACAGGGTGTCTTAGTTCCCTGTTGTCCCTTACAGCCTAAGTGCCTTTGCAGACGGTTGCTGTGGATTGTTTCTACACTTTGAATAGTGCCCAGAACACACGGGGAGTGCCCTATTCACAGGGCGATGTTACCTTGTTGATGTGTTGGTTCAATAACAGTTCAAATTATTAATAACAAAGAGGAATGAATAACAACGCCTTAGTCCTTACATATTGTCTTTCGCCCAAAGATAGCAAAGTGCAATTTATGAAAATCCATTTTTAATGAAATATTAAGCAGTTTCTATTTATCCTGACCCAATGGGTTTGCAAGGTCTCTATTTTTCTCCCTGCAGCTCCCCTATTTATAGATAGCAAATGCTATCATATATTATACATCTTTATGACTTTCTCAATGCTTCTGTGGTTTTAGAATCACCCTTCATATGTTTTCTGATCAAATTCCCTGAGATGGCTTCTTGGCTTCCAGTCTAGGCATTGCAAGGTAAGGGGTTGTGTGCATGGGAAATGATGCCAGGAAATTGGTTTTATTCCCTATCCCCTGACGACTCACTGAATCACTACAGGCAAATCAATAAACCTTAGATACCTTGGTTTCTCCTTCAGAAAAATAAAGTCGATAACAGGCTTGCAGATAGATACTTCTGTTTACCAGCCCTCCCTCCAAAGCCTGCACAGCACCCAGGACAGATGTTAGTGTGGAAGTCAAGTAACAAGTGTTTGTTGCAAGTAACAAATGGGTCTTTGCAGAGGTGGGAGAGTTCAAGTTCTAAAAGCCACGACTACTCCCAAGTCCCACCTTGAGGTCAACAACTTTCCGACCATAACTTTGCAGTGAGGCATCCACAATGCTGAGAAAAATCAGTGGGTTGCCTTGTATGTTATACTCAGATAGGCATATATCAAACAGAATGATCGAATGTTAACATCTAGCTGGATGTCACAGAGGACGTACATTTTAAATTTATTTTAATTAATTAATTTTTGAGATGGAGTCTTGCTCTGTTGCCCAGGGGCACAATCGGCTCACTGCAACCTCCGCCTCCCAGGTTCAAGCAATCCTCCTGTCTCAGCCTTCCGAATAGCTGAGATTATAGGCGCGTGCCACCAGGCCTGGCTAATTTTTGTATTTTTAGCAGAGACAAGGTTTCATCATGTTGGCCAGGCTGCTGTCAAACTCTTGAAATCAAGTGATCCACCTGCCTTGGCCTCCCAAAGTGCTGGGATTACAGGTGTGAACCACAACACCTGGCCCATTTTTTATTAATTTTAAAAGAAAACTCTTAGTATGGTTGTTTACTACCCAAAAGAAAATCACAAGTATGATCAAGGTGACTCCAGCTTCTGAAGATACTGTGGATTATGTTGTAATTATTAAAAATATGTGCGTGTGCATGTTTAAAAAGAAGCTATGTTGAACATAAAGATTTCTTCAAGTGCATCTCTGCAAACCAAGTTTAAAAAGCAATTCAGGGCACAAAGTCGTCTGGATAATCCATTTGGTGCCTCTCTGAATTCTGAATATAATCCAGCATTTTTCAATGGATTCTTGAGACCTTTGGTTTCTTTTCAGTAGCACAGAACCTGAAAACCATCAGCATTTCCTGGATTTTCTGATTTGCACCTCTAGGGAATGGGGGACCTGCCAATTAAATTGGCCTCTATCCAACATCCCAGTTTGATTGTTATCTCCACCCCCAGGAAAAGAAAACCAGTGCGTTTTGACCATGCCTGTGAGTCCACATGGTATGGACAACATAATTCAATGTAATA